AAAAAAAAAAAAAATGCAGTTATTTCAGGTCTGGCACTCCCTGTGATCCTGTCAGTTGGAGGCAGGGTTGTGAGGGTGAATCTGAGGTCATTGTGGGCTAAACAGTGAGACCCTATCTCAATAAATGTGAAGAAGGCTACTCAAGAAGCCAAGATCTGAGGATCGAAGTTCAAAGCCAAGCTAGGCAGGAAAGTCCGTGAGACTTATCTCCAGAAGTGGTTCTGCGGCTCAAGTGGTAGGAAAGTCTGTGAGACTCTTATCTCCAATTAATCACCAGAAAAGCAGATGTGGCGCTGTGTCTCAAGTGGTAGAGCTCTAGCCTTGAGCTGAAGCCTCAGGGACAGCGCCCAGGCCCAGAGTTCAAGCCCCACGAAAGACAAAAAAATAACAACAAAGTGTGTGTGTGCGCGTGTGCGTGTGCGTGTTTGTGTTGTATCTGGACCACAAATGTGCCTTTGTATTTTGTCTTGTTTTTCTGTACTGAGGATAGAGCCAAGAGCCTGTTGCATGCTAGGCAGGTGTTCATCACTGAGCTCCATCCCAACCCTTCAAGCCTATTAATAGCTCAGAAATGGGAAGATGGAAGCAGCAGAAATTTGCTTACATTGCTGGGAGAAGCCCATGAAATACTATCTCCAGGAGTTTCCTTGGTAGGACGGGTCCCTCCAAAAGCCAGAGTACTTCAGTGTATTGAAACCCTTGGGGAGTGTTGCAGTGAAGTTGTTTGGCTCTCTGGTCTCCTCTCTCCTCAACTCCTTTTTTCTCTCATAGAATCTTACATAGTTCACACTTAGGGAAATATTGTTGTTTGCAAAAAAGGAAATATTCCCTACAAATTCTTGCAATTAGTGACTTAACTAATCCAAATAATGACTGAGGTGTGAAGAGAATGTCACGGTACATAAGGTACCTGCACAAGTGCAGCCTTCAATTATAGAACCAACTGCAATCTATGTGAAATAATAAGAGAGGGGGGAGTGGAGCCAGCAGCAGTAGCACACTCACCTCTGCCCTCCTCATAGGGAGGCCCTGGGTTTGATCCCTGATGTTGAAAAGGGAGAAAATAACACACCCTGTTATGTCCTCACGTCCCCATGCATGCTGGTTTGGGAGAGGACACCATGGTGTGTCAGGCAGGGGCGTCATTTTGGACTGGCAGTTAAGAGAATATGGGAGGCACCACTGACGATCACTGACGGAGTCATTCATCCTCACAATGGAATCTGGGTGGATAGCTAGAAAGATGAAGAATGTTTCTTGGATGTATGTGGTGTCACACATGGACAGGTTAGACTGTGCCGTGGACAAAGTAGCTAGATTTGTGAGGTTTTCCTCTGTGCTGAGGATTGGACCAGGGCCTGGTAAATTCTAGGCAAGTACTCAAACACTGATCTTAGACCTTGTTCAGATGTCTGGTTTCATCTACAGTGTTCTGTGACTTAATTGGTTCTATTATCAGGGCCACCTCATGAGTATACTTGTGCATGTGTGTGTGCTAGTACTTAGCTTGAACTTAGGGCTTCATGCTTTTGCTTAGCATTTCCACTCAAGAAGGCTAGTGTGCTACCACTCAAGCCAACGTCCACTTCCAGCTTCTTGCTAGTTCATTATTGATAAGAGTCTAACAGACTTTTCCTGCGCAGGTTGGCTTTGAACCACATGATCCTCAGATCTCAGACTCCTGAGTAGCTAGGTGTGATCCACCAATACCTGGCTATGAATGCATTGACTTTTTTCTTTTTTTTGGCCCATCATGGGGCTAACTCTGAGCTTGGGCGCTGTCCCTGCGCTCTTCAGCTCAAGGTGAATGCTCTACCACTTGAGCTACAGTGCCACTTCCGGTCTTCT